TAACTTACAGCAGCCTCAGGGCTGCTCTGAGCTGTGTTTGGCTCCAAAAGACCTCAACGGGCTATTCAAGCAGCTGAGGGGGCAACAGAACAGAGGAGCACTCTGACCATGCTCCCTTTCCCAACCCTGACATGCCACCCACATTAGGAACCACAAACTGGGGGGCAGGGCAGTTACATTGGCTCCTTCCACTAGGAGGCTTCCCAGGTAACCAGTTACATCAGCATTCCAGATGCTTTTTCAGAGCAGTGCGAAGGAACTGGGGAGGCATCGGAGGGGTGGACAGTGAATATTTGTCCACCAGAATAAATACTAACAATAAATTTATGCTGCTCTGAGTAGCATTAACTTGTTCCTGTCAAAAATCCACAGTGATATGGAAAAAGTAAACATGTTTGTGGATGTTTAATCACACAAGCGATGGGGTTGGGGAAAGATGTCATCTCAGCTTTGGCAAAGGTACCTGGAACAGTCTGCCTCATCTTTCCACACACTATGCCCTTTACTGCAGACTCTTCCATCCCAAAATGTCTAGTAGTGCAGTGCTCTGCATCTTCCCCAGCACATTTTCTGCAATACTTTGATCTCTTTGGTGTGTGGCTTTAGCCATGCCCGCTGCTGGTAATACACATTTTTTTTGTGACTGAATAGTATAATACAGACTAACATACATAGATCAGGTTTAAAGTACCCTTTTGAGGATCTTAGCCCACTGCCCAACATTTTATCACAAAGGAGAACATAACACCCTATGTTGGAGTCTATTTTAGGTCAAGGTGAGATAATGTGCCAGAAAAACCTACACTCAGAAATCTGGGGAGGTAGCATCATAGAAAGTGGAGCATGTTTGAACTTCACAGCTGGGAATTTTGAGGAGCTGTAACTCCCTTTGAGTTAAAAATATTTTAAAAGAAGTTAGACTGTGCAGATGAACATCTTTTAACTTTTCTTTAGTCTTTTCTCATTAACATATTAATGCAAACAGACATGTCACATCACTTTTCTCATGGACTGCAAAAGGGATGCCTGAGGGAGTTTGTCTACATAGATCATTATCACCGGCTTCTCATTTGTGGTCTGGAAGTTTACAATGAAGACACTCTACTTGCGCAGTATGAAAAATGATCACCAGTAGTATGAAAGAGGAAAAACGATCTTGCACAGTACAATAGTTGGCCTGGGGGAACTCCGTTTGTCACCAGCACTCTTCATATATCATTTCTCCTACAAATATCCCTGCATAATTTAAAATGAGACCACATTATTTAAGTGTATCATATAAAGCTATAATTCTAAATTATATGACAACTAGTCCATGATATTTAACTTTTGGTTCACTATCCAAACCACTAGTGCAGATTTAAAAATTGTGTCAGAGTCAGCTAATTCAATGAACATTTTTTTGACGATGAATTGGTATTTATGTAAGATTAAATTCACGCGGAGAAGGGAACGGAACTGTTCAGTAGCCCCAGACCCTGGCCCAGGGATAGATTTCACCTCACCAACATTTACACACATACTCGCACACACATACGCGTGCATGTGCACACACACACAGAGTTTGCCAGCCTGAAACAGACATTAATTACAGCAACAGAATACATTACTGTCAACACAGTTATTCTACATTAATAAATATAAATTGTTGTTCAAAATATTTACTGAGGCCTGCCATAAGTGCATAAGATGGGCTGGTTTGATAGCCTACAGCAGGTAAGTGTTATATACTACCAAGCAATTAATTAATTCAAGGCCAGATTCATCCTGGTGGAACCAGACTTCTGAGGTGAAATACTGGCTCAGTGAAGTCAATGGGAGTTTTACCATTGATTTCAGGGGGTTCAGGATTTCATCCATGGGCCGCACTGGCAGAAGGTCTGAGCAGGATCATGATGGGACAAGCCACCTACAAGCCCTGTTTCACTTGTGGGCCCAAAGCAAAACCCCAAAACTGACCTGACACTCCTGGAGAAGGGAGCAGAGCCACACAATTTTACAAAAGTCAATGATTAATACTATTAGCATAAAAGCAGAGCAATACAATCTGTGTTTACACATAGCTCTTAATTCTCAATACATGTTTCCTAAAACTTGGTTATTTTTAATATGAATGGTTCTAATAAATCAAATGGATGGTTAAACATATGTAGTGGACATAATGTAAAGCATTACCAAAAAATGCTGGACTGAACGTGTCTGATCATTTCTACCAGTATGCTAAAATGAGATCACCAATATAGCCTGTTAGAACCACCCAAGCAAATTAAATCAGTGCAGTGTGGCATTCTTGAGGCCAAGCTGAATTCTGAACAGAAAGGACGGGATTTTCAAGAGCAGTCAGCACTTGGTAACTCTGCTCCCATTAAAGTCAATGGTAAAATGCCCTAAATATTTTAGGGCCAGATCCTGCATCGGGTTCCACTAGCATCAAGCCTCACTGAAGCTAAAGGAACTCTGCACAGGTGCTGGGATCCATGTTGTCAGACTACATTGCAGAATTGGAGCTTTCATTTGTGCCTTAAATCTTTTTTCAACAGGTAAGTATTGTATTCCCCTAAATCACTGTGCAGGGAAAACGAGATGTTCTCATTTTCTGCCAGGTCAATCTGTAGTTGTCAGGAGATTATTTCATTTTAATAACAGAGCTTTGAATCTGCTATTACAATGAAGATGTATTCCTTTCCCCTTTAAAGTGATGCTCTCATTTCACGTCTATTAATCTAAGCATTTCTTAGACACCCCCACCACACTGCCTAATATTTATTTATACACACACACAAATAAACTGACTTCCAACTTTTTACCATAATTTAATTCCATTCCATTATATTTAAAGTTCAATAACATTCTTTCTAGAGCAGCCTACTTAATAAGGTTAGTCATTGCAGCCAGCTTGTCCTGCATGCGTTGGCTTAAAAATATGGTGCATTCCTGTTATGTTTGTTTCTTCGAAATATTTGCACAGATCAGACATACCAGTACTGCATAACCAAAAGTGTATAACAAAGTGAGTAAAGTGAACTCACTGGGACTTTTCCCTGAGTAAGGACCGCAAGATCAGGTCCATAATTAGTACTTCAGTGCAGTAGCTCAGCATTTTCTTAGACACATGCAGATATGCTTTGGGTCCCAATAATAGAAAATATGGTCTAGTGTATGAAAGCTGTTAAACTTCATGCAAACCAAGGCAATGGTTGTTGATACCGAATATTTAATCAAAACTATCATAGCAGGCAGAGAGATTTAGGAATAGAATTTTTCCTCTAAAGGCAACGTTGTTTATTACTATGATTATTGTAAATGGAATCACAGCTCTGTAAAAGATCTTGCTAGTGAACATGCTTTACAAGTCCCAAGCAAGCAGCTCGCATTTTTCTTTCTAACTACATTATGTCAATATTCCACCTTATCTTTTTCAAAGCTTTTAATCTGAATAGAGTCTTGACAGCTTTTCAATACAATTACACCAACGAACATGAACCTTTCCAGCCATCACTACCACTAAAAGGCTATTATGAAATGATTACCATGGAATTGCAGCTGCATTAGGGCCAAGTCATTTGCAGAGACTCTCTTTAATTTAAAACTCTTTCACTTATCTGAAAAACTTCGAGACGGTGGTGGCTGGTTAGAAGGGATGGGTCAATTCTTACAGGAATGAATCCTTCGCCCATTGAAGTCAGTGGCAAAATGCCCACTGAGTTCAATGGTGCAAGCTCAGCATAATTACCTGCATAGAAAAAAGCAACAGAGGGTCCTGTGGCACCTTTGAGACTAACAGAAGTATTGGGAGCATAAGCTTTCGTGGGTAAGAACCTCACTTCTT